AAAATGCTTGTTACTGCTTTTTAAGTCACTTTGGATAAAAGTATCTGCTAAATGATTAAAAACAAATAAATACAGCACTACAAAAATATGAAAATAATGCATAATTTATAACATCTTTTTCTTATGATTTGTACATTATTGTTTTTCTTATTTGAAAATAAGAAGTAACATAAACAATCATGTAACTTATTTTTCAAGCAAGTAGTGCCTTAACATGTAATATGCGACCATGGACCACAAAACCAGTCATAAGGGTCCTTTTTTTTAAATTGAGGTTTATACATAATCTGAAAGCTGAATAAATAAGCTTTCCGGGTTGTTAGGATAGGACAATATTTGACTGAGATACAACTATTTGAAAATCTGGATTCTGAGAGTGCAAAAAAATCAAAATATTGAGAAAATCATCTTTAAAGTTGTCCAAATTAAGTTCTTAGCAATGCATATTACTAATCAAAAATGAAGTTTTTATATATTTACGGTAGGAAATTTACAAAATGTCTTCATGGAACATGACTTTACTTAAAGAAAAATCAATCATTTTGACCCATACCATGTATTTTTGGCTATTGCTACAAATAGTCCAAAAGAAAAATGGATAATTTTGACCCATACAATGTATTGTTGGCTATTGCTACAAATATACCCCAGCGACTTCTGCTTTTGTGCTCCAGGCTCACATATTACCAAAAAAATAAATAAAATGACATGACTGAAAGAAAATAAACAGATGTCAGTGGATGCTGATTGATAAAAGAGTGTTAAAAGACAGATTTGCCAAACAAATGCAGTGTCCAGCTCACTGAAAACAAAAGCTGTCAAACACACTGCGCTCACCAAAGACATAAATAAACACACTGAAGATGCTTCATTCATTGCATCACTTGTTTTGGTCAACTGCCACAATAAGAAAAGATTTCCATGTTTTCTCTTCTTCTCTATCGCGTGCAATGATATCAGATTTACAACAATACAATCAAACCAAAAAAAAAAACACTTTGTATAATGTATAACCTCAATTCATAACCCACTTACCACACTGCAAGCAATCTCCAATTAATGTTTGCAAATGAATAAATCCAAAAGTCTCATTCTGCTCCGATATTCGAACACTCGTTGCGGCTCAGAGCAAAGCTCAAATGTCTGACAAGCGAGGCATTGTCTTTTCATGAGAAAGATGTTTGATAAAATCATTTGCAATACACTGGCACAAAGACAGCGATTCAGCCTCCGCTATTATCTGCATATGTCTCTCATAATACACGTAGTATTAAGCACCAGTTTCATAAGTGTGCATTAAACAATCATTTGTCAGAGTTAAACTTTCTTTAGGAAAGCCTGGAGTTTTAGAGGCCTTTATTATCACAGACTTACAGGTAACCTCATTCCTTTAGAAGAGTAATATTCTTTTGCTCGTTTTGTGAATGCAGGTCCTGTCTCTTTGTTTATATTCAAATACTGTGTGAACCACGGAGGAACGTCGCCTGCCGTCTCAAGATGTTCAACCCTGCTATCTGTAACGTCCCTGTGGACTGTTTGTTGTGGTTTCTTCCGTTTGTGTTGGTTTAGCCCGTCTAATCATTAGTTAATCACCGTCATTGTGCTCACCTGTCTGCCTCTAATTATTCAACCCATATTCGTTCCTGTCTGTCTGAGCATTGGTGTCAGTTATTGTTAATGTTACCCCTGTTTGTTGTGGTTTCTTCCCTTTGTGTTGGTTTAGCCCGTCTAATAATTAGTTAATCACCGTCATTGTGCTCACCTGTCTGCCTCTAATTATTCACCCCATATTAGTTCCTGTCTGTCTGAGCATTGGTGTCGGTTATTGTTAATGTTACCCCGAGTGTGTGTCTCACCTACCTGAACCTGCCTTGTTGTGTCTACAATAAATGTCATTATTGGAATCCGTGTCGTCCTCGTCGTCCTGCCTGCCTCCACACACCCGGTTCCGTGACACTTATCATACACCGAAAGATGAAATATGTGTCTTCTGAATAAATCTGCTGAACTTACACATATCAGTGAAACTCTAATTCAAATAAAAGAACAAGTGTACTTACATGTGAATGTGAAAGATCAGCTTCAAAAAACTATTGCAGATACAGATAATAACACATGTGAATAGCTATGGGTGCAGACACATGGTCAACTTGCTAGATGTTACAGGGTAAGGAGTGTGCTCAGGGCTATTAACCCAAGAAAGGCCGCAGGCCCAGATGGAGTAACGGGAAGAGTACTCAGAGAATGCGCAGACCAGCTCTCTGCTGTCTTCACAAAGCTTTTCAACCTGTCCCTGTCAACAGTCACCATCCCTACCTGTCTGAAGTCAGCAACAATTATCCCACTACCGAAGAAAACCGCCATTAGGGGCCTTAACGACTACCGCCCAGTTGCACTTACCCCAGTTATTATGAAGTGCTTTGAGAGGCTGGTGCAGCAGTACATCAAAGCCAGCCTCCCAGACACCTTTGACCCTCATCAATTCGCATACAGATGTAATAGATCTACGGAAGACGCAATCAATACTGCCTTGCACACAGCTTTGCTTCATTTGGAGCGCCAAGGAAACTATGTGAGGATGCTTTTCATTGACTATAGTTCAGCGTTCAATACAGTTATTCCCGATAGGCTGGTAGCCAAATTGCTGGATTTAGGTCTTTCCTCTTCTATCTGCCACTGGATTAATGACTTTCTGACCAGCCGTCCACAGACGGTTAGGTTAGGCCCCTATTCCTCCTCCACTTTAACACTCAGCACAGGTGTCCCACAAGGCTGCGTGCTGAGTCCACTTCTCTACGCCCTTTACACTCATGACTGCATCCCAATCCATTCCACTAACACTATCATCAAATTTGCAGATGACACGACCGTTGTTGGACTCATCTCAGGAGGAGACGAGACGGCTTACAGAGATGACATTCAGAGACTGGCAGAATGGTGTGGGGCAAATAACCTGGCGAATGCTTAAGAAAGCTCTCCAGGGGGTGATTAACTCAGCACAAAAAATCATTAGTTGCTCTCTGGCTTCCTTAAAAGAACTTTACACTTCACGCTACCTTAGAAGGGCAGAAAACATTTTAAAGGATCCTTCCCATCCCGTAAGTTACATGTGACTGCACTGTTAGGATTGCTCAAATTTCACTATACTTGTATAGTGACAATAAAGAAATCTTGAATCTTGAATCTTGAAACCTTTCCAATATGGCGGACAACTCAGTGGCCCACAGAAACAGAGATGGAAGAAAGGAAAGAGAGCAGAAAGAAAAAAGGGATGAGAGGAGCAAAATGTAGATGCAGAGTATAAAGCTTCAAAATATCACAACAGGACCAGCTCAAACCAGCATCCCAGCTTCAAAACATACCTAACCAGCATATGCTGTTTTTTTCAACAGGGCTGAAGTTCATTTAAAGTGTTTTGGGGAAAAAAACAGCAGAAAAAAAGTTTTAAAATTACAAACATTTTAAATGCGCATATCACTTTTGGTAGCCTATTTGTTGTTGCATGCGTGTGTCACATTTCTAAGGTATTGTAGATGTAATCAATATTTTTTTAGATTTAATCAAATTTAATGTCAACACCAGTGTTGGGAAAGTTACTTTAAAAAGTAATGCATTACAATATTGCATTACTCCCTAAAAAAAGTAACTAATTACGTTACTTAGTTACTTTTTGTGTAAAGTTACTTTTTATGGTTACTTTTTAAATCTGGGCAGGGCTTGCTTGTTTGTTTTTAATATATAAAAAGCTCTTCTTTTACAAATGTAAAAGCCCTTTCACACCAAAAGTGAAATAAATCCGCCTCAGGCTGAAGGAAATGTAAATCCATGTCTGTACAGTAGAGGGCGCAGCTCAAACAAATTGCATGAAGAATATGATGCAGGAGAAGAAAGTTCAACACTATTCAGCAATAACAAAAATGCCTGGTTGTGCCCCCTCAGTTTTCTTAATAAACTTAAACCGTTAATGGATAATTAATTGGAGGAGCATGGGCGCACTGTCCGCAGAGAGCATAAAGTAGCCTATCAGTAGGCTACCGCAAGAGCGATTCGCGAGCAGATGCGGGTTACGGTCATAGCAAAGCTTTGATGATGACAGCTAATTCACGATTTACCAGACTCACTCACTGTATTTCATCCCCTGCTTTAATAGGGTTACAAACTCTTTTCATGCTACATTAATGCTATAATGCATATTATTTCATCCCCTGCTTTAATAGGGTTACAAACTCTTTTCATGCTACATTAATGCTATAATGCATATTGTGTCATGTTTATCAAAACGACCTCTGCACTTACTCCCGATTTCTCTCAACATGGCAACACGAGGGCTGTCAGCCAATGAATGGGAAAACTAAGTAACTGGCGTTACTTATTTGAAAAAGTAACTCCGATATCTCCTTCTAAGTTAAAAAGTAATGCGTTACTTTAATAGCTACTTAAAAAAAGTAATCTGATTACATAACTAATGCGTTACCCCCAACACTATCAGTTGTTTTAAATTTAATGCATGAATTTAGTGAACTTATTAATTATATGCATAGCCTGGGTTTGTTAAATTTGTTGAATATGCCTGTTTAATGATAGTAAAAAAAACTATATTTATATAACTAAAAATGAATAAAATGAACTAAAAAATTTGTCTGAAGACCTTCTCGAAAAGAAAAGAACTGAGTATCTAAATTACAAGTTTAAAACAATTAAAGTGGCCCACTTTACCTGAAATAACTTGCCTGAGTGAAGCGTATCAGATGACCTTATTTTGTGAAGTGTGCTGAACCAATCGGAGCTGATCACAGCTGAAGAGTCCACCAACGGGAGTCCGCGGGAGGAGCGGCTCTTCATCCGCGTGCGGAAGCGCCTCAAAGTCTGGCTGACCGTCCTGAGCTCCATCAGTGCGACTCTGTGCTCCTGGATGGACTGCAGCAGCGTCTGAAACTTTCCGGCTGCGGGAAACCACACTGGATTCGAGCGTCTCGGGTCTGAACGCAGAAGCGGTCATCATGACGGAGGAGCAGGATAAGTCCGGCGCGGAGCCGCCGTGCAGTCCAGCCGGCTCGTCCAGCTCCATGTCCCCAGAGGAGTCTGACTCTGACGCGCCGGCATCCCCCGCCGGACCCGGCGTGATCACGAAGCTGGAGCGCGAGGATGAGCGGTTCCCCGTGTGCATCAGGGACGCGGTGTCCCAGGTGCTGAAGGGCTACGACTGGTCCCTGGTTCCCATGCCGGCGCGGGGCAGCGGCGCGATCAAGAGCAAGCCGCACGTCAAGAGACCCATGAACGCCTTCATGGTTTGGGCTCAAGCCGCGCGCAGGAAGCTGGCGGATCAGTACCCGCACCTGCACAACGCCGAGCTCAGCAAGACCCTCGGCAAACTCTGGAGGTGAGTTCAATCACTCTATTATTATACATACAAACACACACACATCATTATTATTATTGCATTTTAATATTACAAGAAAAACTTAATCTTCAAATGCCTTCAAATCAATAAACATAAAATGATGCATTTAGACAACGCCCTATAATAATAATAATTATTAACTCATTAAAAAATGTTAAGCTCGAGATGTACATTTTTGGTTACACTTTATTTTAAGGTGTACTTGTTACAGTGTAATTATACATTTAAGTACTGAGTAATATTAATTAAATGCATGCACTTACTTTAGGGTTACTTGCATGTAATTATGCATCATTAATTGTTATTATAATAGTAAGTACATGTGTAACGAGCACACCATAAAATAAAGTGTTACCAAAATAGGGTTAGGATTAGTGTTTGTCTTAGGGTTACTTGCATGTAATTATGCATCATTAATTGTTATTATAATAGTAAGTACATGTGTAACGAGCACACCATAAAATAAAGTGTTACCAAATTTCCTGCAATTATCCTGAGTTCTATAACAAAATGCATTATTACTTAGAAATGATAATATTTACATATTTAAATGCATTTAATCTCTGCCATCTTTAATATTTAAGCAATATCTGAAGAGTTCAAATGCAAAAGCCTTTAAGTGCCATCTGAAATTTTCTTCTAAAATGAGCATTTTATGTTCAGTTATTTCACTTTAATGTAAAAAAAAGAAGAACCTATTCATTGCCATTAAAAGCGAAATTACTGAACCTACACATAGGAGTATGAAAAAAAAATGCTAATTTTTGAAGAACATTTCAAACAGCACTTTTGAAGTCACTCTTCATTTATACTTTCCGTAAATTATTCAGTATCTTTTAATCTTAAAGTCTAAAATCAGTTATATTTTGTCATGTTTGTGTGTAATTCAGTCATATTTTGTGTGTAAAGTAGTGGGCATATTTCTGATCCAATTCCCTTCTCTCCTCAGTAGTTTTTTTTTTTGTCCGTTTCCTAACTTTCCTATCAAATAAAGGTAGAAAAGCCCCAAAAAATACATATATATAAAACCCCTGAATGCATTGATAAATATCACTCTGAGTGAAAGTGAATCTTGACCGATGGTCACTCGACAGGCTGTTGACGGAGAATGAATGGAAAGTTTCCAACATTTCTGGAAAGTTTCCAAAATTTACTGGAAATTTTCCACCTTTTTGCAACCCTAATTCTGTGTAAATACTGATTGCATTTAGTGGGCAGCACTCCGACATATCTCTCCTTTGCAGTTGTTTTTGTCAGTTTCCTAACTTTCCTATCAAATAAAGCTAGAAAGGCAAAAAATATAACTTTAAAATCTAATAAATATAATAGTTAATCTTGACCGATGGTCACTCAAAAAGACTTGACGGAGAATGAAAGACGCTATGTGATGCATGCAAATGTATAACTCCAGCTTCATTATTATCCTCAGGCCAGCCTCATGGACCCCCGACACCCCCTACAACGCCCAAAACAGACCTCCATCACGGAGGAAAGCCAGACCCCAAGCATGAAGGCAGACGTCTGCTTGACGGCACGCGACAGAACATCGACTTCAGCAACGTTGACATCTCAGAGCTCAGCACGGACGTCATCAGCAACATGGAGGCCTTCGACGTGCACGAGTTCGACCAGTACCTGCCGCTGAGCGGCCACGCCGGAGCCGCTCCAGACGGTCAGGGCGCCAGCTCCTACGCCTCGCCCTACAGCCACCCTGCCAGCTGCGGGGCCTCCTGGAGCCGCAAGGGGCCCGTGGCGTCCTCGCCGCCCGGCACGAGCGAAGCCAGCCAGCACAGAGCTCGCATTAAAACTGAGCAGCTGAGCCCGAGCCACTACAGCGAGCACTCGCCTGAGTACGGCGTTTACAGCGCTCACGGATCCTCGGCCGCCTCCGCCTCGTTCGCCAGCGACTATACAGACCTTCAGAGCTCCGGCTACTACAGCCCATACGCCGGCTACCCATCCGGTCTCTACCAGTACCCCTACTTCCATTCCTCACGGAGGCCATACGGGAGCAACATCCTCAACGGCCTGTCCATCCCGCCCTCCCACAGTCCCTCCGCCAGCTGGGATCAGCCGGTTTACACCACGTTATCCAGGCCGTGAGGCCCGGCCGCTTTGTGCTGTGTCCCTTACTATAACGAAGGACGGTCGCCGTGATTTCGCCAAGACAGACGTGTTGCTGGAAGGGGTTGGGAATCGAAAATCAATTCCGATTCCAGAATTGGATACTTAAGGTCAGGAATCGGATACTTGTCGTAAAATTAAAATTTCAATTCCACTTACTGATTCCTTTTTTTTAGTTGGCGAAAAGGGTCTGTTGAAAATGTAGCCTAGATATTTGTCTTTGAATCATTCATTCAAGAGATTTGTTCAAATACACTGATTCATCCAGTAATGAGTCTTGAGTGAGTCATTGAATCGTTCCATTCATAAACTCTATGAGATTTTGTTTAGTTGTCTAATATTTTTTCTTCAGAATTGTGAGAGAACTAAAAAAAAAGACTCAATTTGTCCAGAATCGTGCCGCTCTGTTGCACACCAACAGCTCTTAATCGAGTCCAGTTTTTATGTAGCCGGCTGATTTTTGTTCATGGTATTCAGCAGCAGTTCAATGTTTTGCAAAAAGAATATGTTTGATATCTAAATGTTGGGCTTTATTTTTTTAACCACATTGGAATCAAAACAGGGAATTGGTAAGAATCGGAATCGATAAGCAGAATCGGAATCGGAATCGATACAATTTAAACGATTCCCAACCCTATTCATGGATCAACATTATCGTCCTAACTTTAGCCCTACCTCTAAACCTAACCCTACCCATAATTTATCCCAAAAATCAGAAGGAAATGATAGTTGAATAAAACCTAACTCTGGTTGTAAGGCTAAAACTGACATTATCTGTAAACTTATCCCTCAATTCTGATTGGTTGCTGGGAATGTTGTTCCAGGATCAACAAGGACGTTGATCCAGGAACATTTTGCACTCGGTGAAATCACGTTCACCAATGAAGGACGACGCTAGCTGAAGGGGTTTGTGCCAACTAACTGAGCGATGAGTGCCTGCTGATTTTTCAACCCATCAGAACATTGACGGTTGGTGCTAAACGTGATGAATTTGAAGAGCCAGCAGAAATCCTCTGTGAGGACTGCCAGACGCTCCAGGATCGGGACCAATGAATATTCCAGAAGCATTGGCTTCATTCAGAATCTCTCCGGTTAATCCTTTTTTTTTTTTTTTTTTACCTAAAACGTGTTCATTTTTAATTCGATGTTTCATATATATTTATGTTGTGTTGTCATTTTTTTATCGTTTGTTTCTGTTTTACAGTACTTACAAAAGCTGAAAGGGTGGAGGGCTGAAATGATTTCGATAAACAGCCATATCTTTTTGGACATTATTTTTGAAAGCATTCCTGTGTGTGTGTGGGGGGATTAAAAAATAATAGAAGACGTTAATTGTTAGCTGTTATTTTACGTATGCATCATTTTAGTGAGCACTTTTAACACGTCAAAGGCTCTTCGGTTGCAGCAAGCTCATTAATAATTGCATTTTTAACATCGCCAGTCGTTAATACACGTTTGTTGGCATTGACCGTCTTGAATTAAATCGGGATTCTTTAATTATATAGCAATCCGTTGAACATTTTAATGACCTTTTAGGCTGTGAAACACAAACACACAAAACAGTGGTTTACTCTACGTTGTTTTATTCTTGTGTATAATTTAAAAACGACTTCTCTTTTGTAAACAGCCTCGTTCTTACAAAATGCTAACTAGTAATTGCTGGCAATATTTGTGGAGAAAAATAAATTTATTTTAAAAATGTTTGTCTAAACTTTCGCTCAGCTGATGGCTACTATTGTGCTTGTGAATACTAATTTTCAAAAAGCAATTGTGTTGAATTTCTGAACAGTTAAAAAAAACATTTCAGTAAAATTAACCGATTAATGTGTTTGTTTTATCAAGTTTGAATAAATTAATGAGGTTTTTTGGAAATACCGAGCAAATATGTATACACCAAAAGCTATTAAATGATTGCTATACTTTGGGAAATAATAAGTCTCTGTTTGAAGCAGCTGCCGCAGTGACATTCTTAGCAGCAGTTTTTCTTACATCTGCAACTGAAGCAGCAGCAGCTGTCAGCGTAAAGACAGGCTGCCGTGATTTTATTCAACAAATGCTTCTGTCATTTTCCGACCATGTCTAATTGTAATAACATTTTAGTTACCATTTTGTAAGACATAAACAATGTTTACCGCAAGGACAAGCGGTTTGGAAAATGGCTGGATGATAAACAACACTACAGGCTTTTTAATTATTTTACTGTGGTTCATTTCAAGCGATACATGAGCAAACTTGTTTGCATTTTAGAGCCACATTCACAGATGAGAAAAAAAAAACTGATTCTAAGTGCATATATGAATAATCAACATGCTACACAAAAATGATCTAATTCCCAGTCGTTATTGTAATTCTGTTTAATGATGCGTTTTGAGAGAATTACATATCTGTCCATTCCAACACGTTTGACACGAAGAGGAAAGTCATATTCATGTTCCATAAATATATGTGACCCTGGAGCACAAAAGCAGTCGCTGGGGTATATTTGTAGCAATAGCTAACAATACATCGCGTCAAAACATACCTAACCAGCATATGCTGGATTTTTCAACAGGGTGACCAATCCTAATCAATGGAAAGCTTATTTATTTAGCGTTCAGATGATGTATAAATCTCAATTTCGAAAAATGGACCCTTGTGACTGGTTTTGTGGTCACATATTTCACTTTTTAATCTCGTTGTAGTCATACATGGAACTTGTTTGTCAGGACAGAAACTCGGATGAGGAAAAGCATGGAAATGCATGTCAGCTGCTGAGAGATTCAGAGCATCCGGGGCTGTGCTCTGCTGGGTTGAATTTCAAAGCGGGGTCTGGCATTCATGCCAAGCAGTCCGGGGAGGAAACACGGTGCCACCGCAAAGAACTGCTGAATTTTAATGATCTATTCTATTATGTGCTGGAGGGCTCTATTGTCTCTCTTTCTCCGGGGAAGTAAGAAAAGAATTAATTGGACAGAAAATGGAGGGGCAGGAAAACTGACAGTCATTAGGAGGGATGTGAATGGATGATTACACGCACACGGCTGGATTTCTTCCCCATACTGTACGCTTTAACAGGAATACAGCCCGATGACCAGTATTGCAATTAGGAAAACTTCAGCTCATAATCGTGACAACAGCGATGATAATAATAAAACTGATAATTAATGAGCAGATGGGATGTGGGTGGCTTTAAGAAGACTAGTTTTTCTCTCGTTTCCTCTTGCGTTGGCCAGATAGTTTGAGGAGGAACTCTTCAGAGAGAGCAGACGTGACTCAAGCGCATGAAATAAAGGCACTCGGGTCTCATTTCACTCTCAGACATCCTTTAGAAATCAGCTTCTGCACAGTGAAACACAAGTGATGGATAACAAACACACACACACACGGCGTTTACTTAGAGGTTTATGGAATGTCTCCATTTAAATAACTCGTTTTAATAAACTTTCATACAGAAAACGTTCTGCATCTTCAATTTTCAATTGTTTATAATAATACAGAATGAAGTTTTTTGAAAATCTAAAATGCACAGGATAAGGAGATGGAAAGTACAGTTTGTACAATAGAAAAACCATGAAGTCTATGGAGAGTATCCATTAAACATGGAAAACGTGTGTGTGCGTGTGTTGTTTTAGGAGGAGAAGCCTGGTGGATTTGTTGTGAGCTTGAGGATTCTGGGAACTTGGGACTGATTTGCAAGGGAAATGAAATAGACATGAGTGTGAATCCACTTTCTCTTTCTGCGGCCACTTTTTGGATTTCATATAGTGTTTCCGCTTTGAATTATTACCTCAAAACTACAACAGAGAAAAATAAGCGTACAAGTCTCACTAAACGTCACTGTATTTGTAACGAGATTTGGCGATAACTATTTAATATTGTCATAAAAGAAGGTTAGCATCTCAAAGCTCGGCTTTTCTCACTACATTTTTCCCATCCCTGTTGAAAAAACCAGCATATGCTAAAAATAAGCGTACAAGTCTCACTAAACGTCACTGTATTTGTAACGAGATTTGGCGATAACTATTTAATATTGTCATGAAGGTTAGCATCTCAAAGCTCGGCTTTTCTCACTACATTTTTCCGATCCCTGTTGAAAAAACCAGCATATGCTGGTTAGGTATGTTTTTTTGCTGGTTTAAGCTGGTCCTTTGCTGGTTTATGCTGGTCCTTTTGCTGGTTTAAGCTGGTCCTTTGCTGGTTTATGCCTGGTCCTTTGCTGGTTTATGCTGGTCCTTTGCTGGTTTAAGCTGGTCCTTTGCTGGTTTAAGCTGGTCCTTTGCTAGTTTTTTAAGCTGGTTCTTTGCTGGTTTAAGCTGGTCTTTGCTGGTTTATGCTGGTCCTTTTGCTGGTTTAAGCTGGTCCTTTGCTGGTTTATGCTGGTCCTTTTGCTGGTTTATGCTGGTCATTAGCTGGTCATGTGCTGGTCCTAAACTGGTCCGACCAGCTTAAGACCAGCAAAGGACCAGCTTAAACCAGCATCCCAGCGTCAAAACATACCTAACCAGCATATGCTGGTTTTTTCAACAGAAATTCTCAGAACTGCTTGTTCAACCATCTATTCACACATTTATGCACATCATAAAAGCAAAAGGAAAAGAAAGAAACCACTACCTCATTATATACATTAAATTCAGTGATACACATGGATTCATTACGTGTTTATTTCTACACAATGGGTTTGTCACAGAAAGATAATGAACTTTCCTTGAGGAAATGGAGGGATAAACAGAAGATACACCAGGAGGTGTGTTCAGGTATGCATCTATTGTTCAGACCTCCATAGGCGTGTAGGACTGCTTTAATGCCCCTGGAATGCTGTGTGTGGGAGGAACATTTGCCGAGAGCTTTCATATTCTCACAGGACGGAGGTGGAGAAACAAAGAGAGAGACCAGAAGTGAGAAAGCGAGAGAACGGGTTAGAAGTAAAAGCAGTCTCTGCTCTCTCTCGCACTTCAGTCGGTTTGGCACACAAACACACAGGAAGCATGAAGAATTGTATGTGTAAAACTTGATCATGCTTGACACACAACAAGCATTAGGGATTAAACACGATCTCTCAGTACTTTGAGCTGAAATGATATGTAAATG